CCCTCGCCTCCCAAAAGGTGAGGAGGGTTTCCTAAGATGACAGATTAGGAAACGGATNACAACTCGGAGCAGCTGGACTTGGCCCGTGTTGACCTCCAGGGCCTGTGCCGAGGAATCGGATCCCGAATCGAGAATCCAGAGGGTTCAGGGTCTTCCTCACCTCGATGAAGGCAGAGCCTGAAACTTCCTGACTTTTACCTGCTGCTGAAGGAAGGATTACACCTGAGGGGCCCCTCGCCTCCCAAAAGGTGAGGAGGGTTTCCTAAGATGACAGATTAGGAAACGGATTTCATGCATTGTTAAAATAATGGCAGGTTTTTTCAATTTGGGGGGGGTAAATTATGCAATATGCAAAGTCTTTCTATTTAAATCCTACTCGTAGAGGGTTCTGAATGGAAGTGTACACTTCGTGCCTGTNTTACAGATACATTACCTCTCACCTGAGGGGCCCCTCTCCTCCCAAAGGTGAGGAGGGTTTCCTAAGATGACAGATTAGGAAACGGATTTCATGCATTGTTAAAATAATGGCAGGTTTTTTCAATTTGGGGGGGGTAAATTATGCAATATGCAAAGTCTNAAATCCTACTCATAGAGGGTTCTGAATGGAAGTGTACACTTCATGCCTCTGTTTCAGATCCTGGAGATAAATTGTCCTTTTCTTGGCCAGTGGGGACCTTTGTTAGGAACCTGCTATCATGAGTGGTGGGCCCTGGTTCTGGGAAACCAGACCCCCAGGGCTAAGAATTGTTAGACAAACCATCCTGGTGGGCCTTTCATCCGAGGGGTGGGAGCCAAAGGCTGGAGGGGCCTCCTGTTATCTGCCCAGCACCTGGATCTGTTTGGGGCCATCTCCCTACTCAGAGTGTATTTGGAATTTTCAAAATCCACTTGGCCTGCCCCTCCCCTCTGAGACTGTGACCCAGGAGGCTGGGAGAGGCTGGCAATGTTGTTGAAGATGCTTCCCAGGTAATACTGATGTTGATGTTGGGTCGAGGGACACCGTTGCCTTGAGTTTCACCTTCCCATAAACTGGGCAGTAGTTCTGCCTCGGAATTCAGCATTTAAAAATCAATCGGCCTTATTGTGCAAATCAAGGCAATCTCATTGAGCTTTTGTATTTTTATATGTTTAAGATGATAAAAAATACATTTGTCAAGGTGATTTAATTAAATTATCATTAATCAATAATAAATATCAATATATGCANTCGGCCTTATTGTGCAAATCAAAGCAATCTCATTGAGCTTTTATATTTTTATATGTTTAAGATGATAAAAAATACATTTGTCAAGGTGATTTAATTAAATTATCATTAATCAATAATAAATATCAATATATGCATTTAAAAAACCAGCCGGCCTTAGTCACATGTCATTTTTCTCCTCCTAACCTCTTGGGACAAAACCCTTTCTTTACTTCAGAAGAAGAATTTCCAAACCACACAATCTTTCATAGACCAAAATAGAGATTTTTATTTCCAAACACAAAGCAGAGGCGTCTTTAAAAACATGAAGCAACAATGGAAACATGAAGCCGGGTTTGAAAACACCGACTTCCAACTTGAACAGCAGGGAGGGGTGACAGCTCCACTGTGCCTTTAACATGCAGCTCGAAGGAGAAACTCGGGTCCCTCCCGAGCGGGGAGCGGGGCGGCGGGCGGCCGGCGCAGGGTGGACTCGATGTGAACCGAGATAGCACACGCGTCCCAGGACGGCCCTTTGGCTCTGCCGCTGCTCGCCTTCCCAGAAAGCTTCATTTATTGCAAATGCACGTTTTACAACCACAAATGGTATGGTGGGCGTGGATATGGTCCTTGTGTATACCGTTTACATAACAGGACATTTTAAACAATGAAGTTAATTTGCTTTTGACACCAAAACCTGCTTACCACACACACGCACACGCACACACACACGCACGCACACACGCACACACCCATGCCACTGCCTGGCTCATTGACCAGACCAGTCCAGCCACGTGGACAGCTGGTCTTGGGGCTTGAAGCAGAGGGGAAAGTGCTCACTCCTCCCCAGCTGGTCCTGGAAACTCGCTATTTTCCTGCTTCTAGCACCTCAAGTGCTCAGCAAATTGAACAAACATCACCGGCCTCTAAAACGCAAAGACGTACAGACAGACACAGGGCAAGAGAGCCACGGGCAAGTTTAGGACCCATCGAGCGAGCTGAGTCCTCACTTACAAGCAGGTTACATGAAACACAAGGAGACGGCATTGTCTCCAGACCAGCCGAGGAAGTTTCCAGAAGGCAGAGATCTCGGGGGTCAATCCCATACGAGGTATAAAATGCTGGAATCAGGGGGAACACCCTGAGGTTCCCAGAGACCATGCGGCTGGTGGTGTCTGTTGTCTGGAAGCCCAGGGCTGGAAACAAGGGCTGCCTGCCTGTGCTTCTAGATAGAGATGTGCGTATAGTGTACACACACATACACACTCACACACACACACCCCTTCCTCTGTCCATTCTTCCCTGCCAATGAAACTTCTAGAACATGCATGGGCACTGCCCCTAGAGAGAAAGTGCCTCTTTTTCCCTCCAGTGGAAGGAATCAGAGCTGCTCCACAGGCGGCCCCGTCACAAAGCCGACACTCTCCTCCACCTGCCCTGCAAGAGGTGGCCTGTCTCTGTCACCCAGGGGCAGGCAAGCACCAGCCTCCATCCCCTGGCCCTTCACCCAGGTGTTGCCAGCCCCCGATGCCCATGGGAGTTGAAGAACTCACTGCAGAAACCTGGGCCCTGCCATCCTTGAGCTGAGGAAACGATGCCCCGTGCTCTGCTCTGGGCTCCCAGAGGGAAGAGCAAAGTGCGGTGTTTGAGGGCCTCCCGCCAGCTGCCTGAGAGAAAGAGTTGCAGAGATGGAAGTGGGTCCCCTCATCCAGGACCCATTTTCTCTGTATCCAGGAGGGGAGCCGGGTGTCTCACCTCTGGGGTTGGTCATGAAATTCGGCAAATCACAGCTGAAGTTTCTGCCCCGCGCTGGATGCTGGGGTTACAGGTACAGCGGCCAGGCCCTGGGACCTCACAGGAGGACAGGGCTGCTCGGCTCCCAGCTGAGCACATGAAGTAACTGGCGCTGACTGTACACTGGTGGTGACACTTCCCAGAGCCCAGGGCCAGCCCTGAGGGCAGCTGACCTCAGGGATGCCTCCGGCCCCATCGACACCAAGCAGGACAGAGATACCCGCTCACCAAACTCATCCCAGAGGCTGCACCCTGGGAAATGTGGAGAACCTGGGGAACCCTCCTCCCAGCATGGGCTTGGGGGGCAGACAAACCTGGGTTCAAATCCCACTTCTGCAGGGGCCTCTTTATATCTTTGAGCCTCAGCTTTCTCATCTCCAATGGAGTAAACTAACACCCAACCCCGAGAGCTGTTGCGGGAATTCAACCCAATGTGGAGCGTGAACCTGTAGCACCCACGGAAGGCTTTGTTTCTGAGGTCGTCGCTCCCTCTGGCCCCTGAATCCCAGCGCCTGGCAGTCCCCTGGCCTTGTCTGCTGCCCACACCTCCCGTGTTTTCTTCATAGACACCCTTCGGTTCCCACACGTGTCTTTCTGCACTCAGGGAGCCAAGAAAACCGGACAGGGGAGTGGGCAGGGGCTAAGCAGGGTAACCAGCAGCTTCGGCCATGCTCACTTGTGCTTCTCTCCCCCCTCTCCTCTGCCCCCTACCCTCCTCTTTCTCTCCCTCCCTCTCTCCTCTCTCCCTTCCTCTCTCCCTCCCTCTCTCCCCCTTTTCTCTCTCTCTCTCTCTCTCTCTCTCTCTCTCTTTNCCTCCCTCCCTCTCTCCCTCCCTCTCTCCCTCCCTCTCTCCCCCTTCTCTTTCTCTCTCTCACACACACACACACAGCTGGGCTGAGCCGTGATGTTCACCTTTCTCCCCAAACCTCACACTCTGGGGACAGAGGGAAACCAAGCACACGCGGGTCCCGGGGCCCCTCTCTCACACCGCACGCCAAGGCTCTTCAGGGCTCTCGTTCAGGGAGCCAGAAAGTCATAAAAATCATGATCGTCTGCACGCACTGGAAGCAAAGAGAATACACTTGAAAAGCACGAGTAAATGGGCTGTGAGATCGTATTACAACTGCATTTATATAAAGTAATGAAAATATCAGTTCTCTTCTTAAAAAAACAGTTATGCAAACACACAGACTATGGCATCATTATTAACATTTAAAAAATACACAGACACTCCCACCTGCCAGCCCACATACTGCAGCTTGTCCCTCCCCACATGGGACACAGCCACATTCCTGCTCAACGCTTTTCCTTTCTCTCCCCGCCTCCTCTGCTCCCTCCCCTCCTCCTCTCCCCCCCCCTCTGCTTTCTCTGTTACAAAATCAGTTTGAAGTTACTGACTGGGAAGTTGGGAAACCTGCTATGCGCTGTCTTGAGCAGGGCGCCCCCTGGCGGGGTGCCCCTGCCACCTCCCTGTGTGCCCCTGGGCAAGTTCCTCTCCCTCTCTGGGACTCAGCCTTCTGGCCTGTGGAGTGGGAGAGTGGGAATGGAAACATTCGAAGGCCCCTGTCACAGCTCTGACTCAGGGTGGGACCCACATGACCCAGTGAGCACCTGGGCTCGGTTGCTTGGGCCTGGGATCTTGGGTCATGCAGCCCCTGGTTTTCCAGTAAGGTGGTCACCTGAGGGTGTGGCCTTGTGGCTGGTTTCTAAAACAGCTGGAGAAAACCGTGCTTTCTCCGCAACACCGTTTTCCCGCTGCGTGAATGTCCAGTTCCTTCTGGTTCCTGGGAGGCCAGGGTCCTGGCCGTGAGAGCTGTGCCCAGCCTGGCCTGCGCTAGAAGGGGAGGGGTCGGTGTATGCTAGGGCAGGGGGGAGGGGAATGGGTCCTCAGTTTCCCCTCTGCTTACAGGGCCTTCCTGCTTCTATAACACCTTATGGTTCCAAAGGCCTGAGGAACTAACTGCTCTTGGTCTCTTTGTAACTGAGCAGACAAAATCGATTTGTAAAGAGGGGGCCCTAAGCATTTTTTAAAAGGAAAACTTAGTGTTGGTTTAATGAAAACACGATCCAGTTATACAGTGCTTAGGAATCACTCGAGTTCCCAGGGGAGGAAGGGCATGTTGCTGGCCTCGGGACCCAGCACAGAGTCCCCTGCCCGGATGGTACATGGAGCCCAGATGCCTAGCTCTGGCAGAGAGGGAGAGGGCCAGGTTTGGGGCACCTGGGGCCTGGCTCCCCTGTGGGAGCACGTGTGGGACATTCTTGGTCCAGAGGACCTGCCTCTGTCCAAAGTCCCTTCTGGGAGCAGGAGGGAGAGCCCTTCAGATGGGCCGAGTTCCAAGGCCGAGCTCTCGTCTCTGTCTTGGACACTCAATCCCTCTTCCCTAGTGTGACAGGGGCTCCCCTTCTGTCCCTTCAGCTTGAGTTGGAGAAGTTGACAAGCTCAGACCAAGAGTGGCTGGGAGGTAACACAGCCTCCCCGTGACTGTCACTGTCAGGCGGCTGCTGCACACGGAGCGTGCTCCCCTCGCTCCACGGAGATCTTAGCGGTGACGTCTCTCTCCTTGATTTTCTCCCTGAACAGAACACGGGGCGCCATCTAACCGTTTCCCGGAGACTCCGAGCGTGGTCACGGACACACGTCACGGTCCCTGCTGCCGGGGCTCCTGCACGCGGTGCCCCCGTTCTGCGGCGCCTCTTAGTCCTTCCTGGGTCTGCTCTCTGTAGGTCTCCCCTCTCCTTCATGTCACTCTATCACTTGTCACTTTTCACTGCTGTCACTGGGCCTGCCACTGGTCATCACCATTTCTGCTTCTAACCCATAGCACCGAACCTGCTGTCATTTTTAAAACTAGACAAGCCGGTTTGTTCTCCTTGTGCCTAAAACAAGAGTCACTGGGCGGTGAGGGAGGGCCTGGGCTGTTCATCCGTGTGACGGCTCAGGGGCCTTCGCAGTAACATCTGGGTTGGGGTTGGCCTCTGGGTAAGAGGTGGCCATCCAAGGGGCACGTTTGGGTTTCCAGGGCTGACAGCAGACCAAGGCCAAAATGCCTCAGCTTTCCCCCAACCACGAATAGATGCCATCTATGAGACTGTACACGCTGAGCATTTACACAGAGTATATAAAAATTCTGTACATCATTCCTGGCCACGCAGTATACATTCCGTATAAACAGACTGAGAGGACACTGTATAAAAAGGAGCTCTGCGCTGGAAACGTGGATACGGTGTCTACACAGGGCGGCTCTGCCACCTGGCCGGCCCGTCTCCAGCGTCCCCGGCACCCTCGGGGGGAGCTCGGGCCGATGGAAGGTTGGAGGAGAGTCACCGGGCGCCCCCGGGGGCTAGGTGGGCGGGGGGCCGCTGTAGCGGAGCACGAGCGTGAAGGAGCGGGCGAAGTTGTTGGCCAGCGTGCAGCTGCGGTCGTCTTCGCCCACGGGGAGCAGGAGCAGCAGCAGCAGGAGCAGCAGCAGCAGCAGCTGCAGGGGCAATGCCACGCAGCACACCCTGCGGAGGAGGGCGCGGGGCCCCTGGCGCCACCACCGGGGCTGCAGGGCAGAGAGAGGCGTGAGTGGGCGGGCGCCGGGC